CTCAAAGACATTAAAACAACATGGTCAGGTTCATGTAGCTTGCACATGGCAGAATAGGGATGTGAATCCAAATTCCTGGTTCTTGAGCACAAAACCGATGAATGCAATTAAACTGTGTTAAAGCCACACTGATATGCTGGGAAGTTCTGAAGACCAATATAGAGCCACGGTTAACCTAATTGTGTCAAAATTGCATACTTGTGGAGGTTCCTGCAAGGACACGGTATCCATGAGGGCTGCATTTTACAGCCTGGCCAGCCCTCTTAAATGCTCCTTGTTTTCCTGGAATCTCTTTCCTTCGCACCCGTCAGATCACAATGCAGGAGAAAAGAGCCCATGCATGTTGAGTATGTTTTTTAAAGAGAGCGGCTCACTAGGCTAATCCTCCGCCTTGCAGCGCCGGCACACCAGGTTCTAGTCCCAGTTGGGGCGCCGGATTCTGTCCCAGTTGCCCCTCTTCCAGGCCAGCTCTCTGCTGTGGCCAGGGAGTGCAGTGGAGGATGGCCCAAGTCCTTGGGCCCTGCACCCCATGGGAGACCAGGAGAAGTACCTGGCTCCTGCCATTGGATCAGCGCGGTGCACTGGCCCACAGTGTGCCGGCCGCGGCAGCCAATGGAGGTGAACCAACGGCAAAGGAAGACCTTTCTCTCTGTCTCTCTCTCTCACTGTCCACTCTGCCTGTCAAAAAATAAAAAAAATAAATAAATAAAAAATAATAAAAAAGAGAGAGCATTTTCAAGCATTTCTTCTAAAGCAACTTGAGTTGATTCTATTACCCCCAGCTGCCTCTACACCATGCCCTTTTCCCTGTGCAGACGTTTGAATGAACACTCTTCTCCTCCATATAGAGGTATGCAATATTCAATGTAAATGCCTAGCGTCAGAGAAGAGGAACTTTCCAAAAATAATGATAGATTAATGATTAATGGTGAGATTACTATTAACACAATTGAAATAGTAACTAACAGGACTAAGGGGCAATCCAATTTAGAGAAGTAAAACAATTTCGGTTTCAGTGTTTTGTCAATTTTTTTAGACTTTTTAATCTTTGATTATCATTCATATTAAATAATTTAAGGAGATGCAAATCCAGTCTGGTTCTATCTGCTTCACTACCCCTGCCTTTAATTTGAATTAGTAAAAATATAATATTTAGCTTCAGCAAATTAGCAGACTTCTCTTTACTTTGGGGTAACAGTTTAATAAGTATAAAAATTTTTTTCTTTGTCCCTTTGCTTGTATATAATATACCTAAAACCATATTAAACAAGAAATCAGGGGCTAGCGCTGTGGCACAGCGGGTTAACGTCCTGGCCTGAAGCGCCGGCATCCCATATGGGTGCCGGTTCTAGTCCCAACTGCTCCTCTTCTGATCCAGCTCTCTGCTGTGGCCTGGGAAAGCAGTAGAAGATGGCCCAAGTGCTTGGGCCTCTGCACCCGCATGGGAGACCTGGAAGAAGCTCCTGGCTCCTGGTTTCGGATAGGCGAAGCTCTGGCCATTGCGGCCAACTGGAGAGTGAACCAGCGGATGGAAAATTTCTCCCTCTCTCTTTCTCTTTCTCTCTCTGCCTCCCCTCTACCTGTATAACTCTGACTTGCAAATAAATAATAAAATTAAAAAAATTAGAAATCAATTCTATCTTAAGTGAAAGTCAAACTTCAGAGGCCAAGTTCAAAAATTTATTTCCTGTGCTCCAAAACCCAGAATGAGGGTTCATTAATAAGATGGGATGACCACAGTGTCCCCCTGGATCTCCCAAGAAAACATTTAAGCAGTGAGGTCAGTTGCATTTATCTGGGTTACCTAATATATTGTTGTCCTTCTTATTCTCATTTTGTTCCTGATTCACTTGGAATCAATTTGTTTGTCCAGCTTCCCAGAAAGTAAAAAGCAAAAACAAAAAATTCTTCTCTTTCTAAACATCAATCAAATTTATGAAACTAAAAAATTGATCATGATAGAATAATTTGAAGGTTCACTTTAAAAGAGAAAGTAACTAAATTAAGAACACATAATATTTAGTGCAAAATATTCTAGAGATGTCTACCAAACACTAACATCTTTAAACAGGAGGACATTGATAAATCTTGTACACATCAATTTGTGAAGAGGTTTTATAATTTTATTCAGTAGATTGTTAGAGGTTTTTCCATCTACCCACTCACCCATCTATGGACCCAAGATGTCTTATAAAAGGATGAAAACAGCTTAAGTTTATTAAATTTTCCTTTCCTGGTAGGCAGGAAACTAGCATTTGGTGCCAGAAAAATTAGATTCACTTTGTGCAGGGGGGGAATATTCCAGAAAAAATGACTATTTGGTTGAATATTTTTCCAAGGATGATATAAGAGGAAGGGTGAGGAAATCAAAAGCAATTATAACAAGCCTTAACCACATGCTTCAGTTGGGAAAGGAGATTTCAGTAATGAGGAAGAAGAACAGAACACTGCTCACCTGTCTGATTCTGGCAGTGAACAGGAGAGAAAGCAATATCATCGAGGGCAACATATCCTCCTTTGGGACCATTGAAAGCAACTTCAAAAATAACCTGCAGAGAAAAATGACATATTGTCATGTTTATATAATTCCTGTTAGGCTTACACGCTCTTAATCATGATTTTAACTTTTTAAAGGCTTATTTATTTGAAAGCCAGAGTTAGAGAGAGACAGGCAGACAGACACACAGACAGAGACAGAGAGACAGAGGTGTCAGTCTTTCATCCACTGCTTCATTCCTCAAATGGCCACAACAGCTGAGGCTGGGCCAGGCCGAAGCCAGAAGCCAGGAGCCCGGAGTTTCATCTGGTTCTCCCACATGGGTGCAGAGGCCCAAGCACTTGGGCCATCTTCTACTGTTTTCTCAGGCGAATTAACAAGAGACTGGATTGAATCAGTGCCCATATGGGATGCTGGCATTGAAGTTGACAGCTTAATCTGCTTTGCCACAGCTCTGGCCCCTTGATTTTAATTTAAAAATTGTTTTAAAATCCCAATTTGTGTATTTAGCCTTGATATTCTTTTTTTTTTAAAGATTTATTTGTTTATTTATTTGAAGGGCAGAGTTACAGAGAGGCAGAGGCAGAGGCAGAGAGTGAGAGAGATCTTCCATCTGCTGCTTCACTCCCCAGATGGCTGCAATGGCTGGAGCAGTGTTGATCTGAAGCCAGGAGCCAGGAGCCAGGAGCTTCCTCTGGGTCTCCCACGAAGGTGCAAGGGCCCAAGGATTAGAGCCTTCTTCAGCTATTTTCCCATGTGCATTAGCAGGGAGCTGGATCGGAGTGGAACAGTCAGGACTCGAACCAGCACGACATGGATGATCGCATCACAGGTGGTGGCTTAACCCACTGTACCACAACACCGGCCTCTTAACCATGATTTCAATGGCATGTCAGACCAGGTGGTACTAAGTTACAAGGACTTGTGTGCACTCCAGTTACCAAATACTGGAGTTTGGGTGACATCCTACTCAACTTGTCATTTCTTTCAGGGAGAATGAAACTGCTATGGCCTGAATGTTTGTTCCCCACTCCCACCACCACCCCTCCCCCTAACAAAGTCATATATTGACGTCCTATTCCCCAAGATGATGTTATTAGGATTGGGGTCTTGCCTGGTGTGGATACGATCTGAGTGGTCCCCCCAGGGTTCAAGTGCTGGAGGTTTGGTCCCCAGAGTGCAGATGTTGAAGCGCTGGGACTGTTAAGAGGCGAGGCCTGGTGGAAGGTAATTACATCATGGGGCCAACCCTGCCCCCCACCCCACTGAATGGACTGATGCTTGTTTTAGGCATCCCCATGCACACACACTTGGGCCTTCGAGTTTGTGGCTGCTTTCCATTCTGTTTCTCTATCAGAGGCCCCAGCCAGGAGAATGGCACCTGCAGCTGCCAGTGTACCTCATCTCTATAAAGCGGCCAGCCTTGAGAACACTGTTGGAGCAACACAAAGCTAACTAATCCTCCTTGCAGGGCCTTGCCCTCATGCATGGGATTAGTGCTCTTAGAAAAGAGGCATAAGGAAGCTGGCTCACCCCTTCCACTACGTGCAGACACACAGAGAGAAGGTGTCATCTATGACCCAGGAAAGGGGTCTTCTACATCTTTGGGTGCTTTGATATGAGACTTCCTGATATCTAGAACTGTGAGAAATAAATCTCCATTGTTTCTAAGCTATCCAGTTTAGGACATTTTGTTAAAGTTGTCCAAATGGAGTAACACAGAAAACCTGAACTGGTGTTTTACTGACCTCTCTTGAAACCGTCAGCTGGTGTCCATGTAATTTCTGATGGAACTATAAAATTAATCAGCATTAAGAACTTCAATGACAGGGAAAACAGGCTAAGCAAAGAAAGTAGGTCAGGTTCTTCCCCTGCTGTCCACAGGCAGCTGAGCCCCTCTCAGTCCCTTTCCCTTCCTCCTAGTGGAACTCTATGTGAGGAGCTGGACTAGGCAGCAGTCAGGGGTGAAAACACTGATCTCAGCAGTCCAGACATGTTCCTGAGGGTAGAGAGCACATGGTTTCACGAATTCAACTTGAACTCTCCAAAATACAGTGGGAGTCCTGGAAGTATATCTCTGGCGAGGAGTAGGTGAGTGGTTTGTGAAGGCAGAAACAGATCTGGACAGCGAAGGGTTAATTAAGTTCACAGACTTGACACGGGTCCCTGACACTGAGCTCTCAGGGTGCTGCTTGATAAACAAAATGAGTGACAGAATTTGCTTCCTACTGGGCAGGTGCAGTAAAAATACAAGCATTTCTGCTCCGGACATGCTAATGACAGCCCACGTGCCAGTGTGTTCTCTCCTGCTCAGAAAGAACGTCTCTAATGTTTGTTTTGCCTTTTTAAAATTCATTCGAGAATACGGTGACATTAAAGTCACTGATGTGTGCAGAACAAGTTTCTCTTCCTGCCAGTTTGTAAGAGCACGTAATACCAGCCAATGGGTTCACAGTAGAAGGGCAGAATTACATGTGTGTGGACCCACAGGGTATAGACGGAGGTTCAGTGTACCACTGCAGCCTCTCAAGTGCCAGTCTGCACACATTCAGCGAAGTCGCCCTCCCACAAATGCTGCCCAGAAAGTTTACGGCTGTGCGAAAGGAGAAACACCGTGAGTGTGCCTGGGTGTGTGACTCATTCCATTGTGATAAGAAGGCAAATTTCCTGCTGTGCACGCACTTCTCTTTCTCCTTGCAACCCAAACTCACTAAAAACTTTCCACTGGGCTGCCGGAGCAAACCAAGGCCTGGTCAGACTTTGGGATAGGAAATAGCTCACATTCTGCAAAAGGCACTCTGCTCTTTCTGGGATGGCTGGGCCAGGGGGTGAAGAGCAGGAGAGGGATGGGGTGCAGGCAGTGGCAGGCACGCCATCCGTAGATGGAACACGTCAGAAGCCAAAACCCGGCCCCCGTGTTCTCTGCAGCTCCACAGAAGGCTCACAGATGGCACACTGAAAAGCTGCCAGAGGCATACTCTGCTGCTTTTGCACTTTAAAGGCCACTGGAGAAGGTACCGCAAAATGCACAAAGTGACAAGTGGAGGGTGCTAATAACTCACGGTAACGAAGAGTCTACATGCAGCTCCGAGTCCTTACACCAGTCCCACACTTAGAGCAGGCACAGGGCCGCACCCACTGATCTCAAGGTGCGGAGGGTCTGCAGGCAGAGCTGAGCCGCCTCCTCCAGCTGGAGGTCATATCTGAGTCCAGGAACTTTCCTAAGCGCTCTGGCATTCGCCAGCTGTGTGACCCAGAAAAAAGATGTTGAACTTTTTGGACATTCTGTTTTCTCCTTCCTCGTCTGTAAATATGGGGATGATTTTATCTGGATTTTGTTGGATGGTCAGTACTGAATATACTAGTCAGTTCCAAAACACATACATAGATAGAGATATCTATGCATCAGGTCTACAAGGGCAAATAAACATAGAGATGTCACAAGTACTCATCTTTGTGGGATTGGCCCAAGGCCTTTTAATTTGCTTCTCTGAATTTTCTAATTCTTCTGCGTTGCACATTTATCATTTATGTAACTTTAAAACATTCTAAAACCAAAGCACTATGGTCTGTTTCACCCAGGATGATTGAAGAAATGTTTATTTCTGATTTTATAACATTTATCCTGCAAAGAATGAAATAAGTCTCCTCCCCTCCCCCCCAGATAGACAACTCCCTGAAGTCAAGGTAACCTTCACTTGATCTTGGCCAAAAGGCCGAGAAGCAATCAAGGTAACCTTCAAAATTGCTCTCAAGGATGGAAGCACAGGGGTGATCTGGGGTTAGATGACTCTGAGCCCCTCTGTGAGGTCTCCACGGCCACAGTGCAGGGTTCAGAGGGACAGTGTGCCATGAGCACTTGGTAGTTGACTGGATTTTCTTCACATTTATTCTTATGGAAAATATTCTTGCTAGAAAATGAAAATGACAAAGAAGGAAGGCAGAAGGAATACAGAGGAAGGAGCTGCAGAGGGGACCAGAAAGACTAAGACTGAGGTACAGCAGGGGTGGAAGGGGAAAGGGATCTTGGTCAATGGGTGCAAAGTTACAGTTGGATAGGGGGAGTAAGTTCTGGTGCTCGGGTGCACAGTAGACTGACCACAGTTACAAACAACATGTGCTGGGCAGCAGGATTTCAGCCTAGCCGCTAAGACACCTGCAAGCTATGTCACAGCGGCTGCTTCAATCCTTGGCTCCAGCTCCTGATTCCAGCCTCCTGCTAATGCAGACCCTGGGAGGCAGCCATGATGGCTCGAGTAGTTGGGTTCCTGTCACTCATGTGGGAGACCCAGATTGAGTTTCCAGCTTCTGGCTTTGGCCCTGGCCCAACCCTGGCTTGTTGCAGGCACTTGGGGGAGTGAATCAACAGATGGGAAGTTCTCTCTTATCTGTCTCTTTGCCTCTGCAATCAATTTTAAAATGCTTTTAAAACTACAATATATTATATACTTCAAAATAGCTGTAAGAGAGGATTTTGAATGTTCTCACCAGAAGCAAACCATAAATGTTGAGGTGACAGATGAACTCATCACCATGATTAGATTATCATATGAAGTATACATGAATTAAAACATCATACGGTATCCCATAATTATGTACAATATTTTTGTTAGTTTAAAATAACAGTTAAAAACAATTCAAAATAAGCCCACCTTAAAACAAAAACTAAAAGGATTGAAGTACAGCAGAAAAGAAAAACCGACCCTGAGGAGGGAAAGTATTGGCCCCCAAAGCTGTGCAGGGCCAGACAGGGCACAACTGGTCCCTTGCATACCTACCTCCATGGGATAGGGGGCGCTGAACTCGACTTCCGCCAGATTCCAGGCAGCACTCCCCGGGGCATCCATTTTCCAGATCTCCTCATAGAGGCCGGACCCATCCCGAGTGTAGAGGGAGAAGACGTTGTCATTCCCCTGCTGGAGCTGGTAATAAAAGGACAGGCAGCCAGACATGGGCGCCGTGGTCATGGGGGAGATGAGCTGCGCCACCTCCTGGAAGTGCTTGACGTAAACGGAGTCCACGTACATGTAGTGGCCTGGAGATCACACAGAAGGAAGATGTGTCAGACGGGAGGGGTTTGCAGATGAAACAGCGTGGGCCTGGGGTTTGCTTCTCCATAATCCGGTGGGAGCCGGGGGAGGAAGCAAGTGAAAGACGTTGGGCCAAGAGTGGAAAATACTGCAGGTGGGAGCCAGGGACACCAGGTTTATTGTTCTTGGTGAAATACAAGATGAGACCTGCTCTTTTTGCATGAAATATAAAAACATACAGAGAGGTAGAGGCGTCATTTGTACAGTGCCTGATTTTTCACAGGCTGAACCCACTCCTGGGGAGGCACAGAACATCACCCGAGAAGCCACCCTCCTATGCCTTCGCTGAGTAATTCACTTCCAAGAGCATGCAAGGGCAGTGTCCATCTGTTGTCCAAGGGTGGAAGACCCACCTGGACATCTTTACAGGATGTACAAAATGTCCCTGTGTGCATTTTGAACGATTCTGAAGCCAAACCAGATGGCAATTTGCACACATTAATAGAACATACAGGCTACTTGGCACTGCAGATAAGAGTGTGAACTTGTGAAGTTGCTCCTGGCAGGCCTTGTTGGCCTCTAGGCCTGGAGGCTGACCTCCACTGGAGGCCTCTAGGTGGGGCAGAGTGGGGAAGGCTGGGAAGGGAACTGAGTGTGACACCTGCCCTACTCCCCACCAGCTCCGGGCCCTTACACAAGTTTCTGTATTTGTCTGGGCCTCAATTTCCTGATGTCCAGAATGGGAATCAAATACAGCAGCTGCCCCCCTGCACCTGGGAGAGATTGGTTCAAGGACTGCTGGGGACACTACAGTCTGCGGATGCTCAGGTCTCTTATATAAGATGGAGCCGTATTTCCATTTAATGAACCCAGGTCTTTCTGTATACTTTAAATCATTTCTAGGTTATTTATAATACCTAATAAGTGTAAGTGAGGTTTGAATTGGTGTTACATTATATTTTTTTTACATTGTATTACTTAGGGAATATTGACATGAAAATAAAGTTTTTACATGTTCAGTATACACATAATTTTCTTTTCCAAATTAGTTTCCTCTTTTAAAAAAGATTTATTTACTTATTTGAAAGGCAGAGTGACAGAGAGAGAGAGGAAGGGAGGGAGAGTGGGAGGGAATGAAAGAGAGAGAGAGATCTAGAGAGAGAGAATCTTCCATTTGTTGGTTCACGTTCCAAATGCCTGCAACAGCCAGGGCTAGGCCAGGCTGAAACCAGGAGTTAAAACCTCCAGATCTCCTATGTGAGTGGCAGGAACCCAAGTACTTTGGCCATCATTTGCTGCCTCCCAGGCATATCAGAAGGGAGCTGGATAGGAAGTAAGGTGGCACAATCCCGGGTACTCTGTTATGGGATGCAAGTCCTGCAAGCAATGACTTAACATGCTGTGCCACAACACCTGGCACATCTAAGCATTTTTAGTGCATAGTTGGTGGAATTCATAGATGTGGAACAAGTAAATGTGGAATTTGTATGAGCACCAAAGAAAATTACGTGTGTAAAGTGAGTAGCATGTGCCTGACACACTGTAAATGCCTTATATATTTATAATGAAATAAAATAATGCCATCAGTGTTTCTAGGGCTATAGTCTTTTCTTTTTGTGTAAAGGATAGTTATTATTATTTGCAATTCTTTTTTGTAAAGATATATCTATTTATTTGAGAGGCAGAGTTACAGAGAGAGAGGGAAGACACACACACACACACACACACACACACAGAGAGAGAGAGAGATAGAGGTCTTCTATCCACTGATTCACTCCCCCAATTGTTGCAACGGGAAGAGCTGGGCCAATCTGAAGCCAGAAGCCAGGAGCTTCCTCTAGGCCTCTCATGTGGGTACAGGGGCCCAAGCACTTGGGGCATTTTCCACTGCTTTCCCAGGCCATCAGCAGAGAGCTGGATCAGAGGTGGAGCAGCCAGGACACAAACCAGCATCCAAATGGTGCAGGTGGAGGCTTAGCCTATTACGCCACAGTGCTAGCCCCTACTCCTGATGTTTAAAATAAATAAAAACACTCTCACAGATCCCCAAAAATGTCACAGCCTCTATACACAGTTCCCACTGCTCCTAATGAGCATGTTGGCCTTGGATTCCTCTTAGACCTTGAAAACCATTTTTCCCCAAATTTTGTTCCTACCTAATCCCAGCTTAGTCTCTGCTTATTGAAAGCCCAAACTGACCTAGCCAAGAAGAGGGAGATCAGCTCCCTAGACTGAGGAGTGTCTGCCTCCAAGGATTCCAGAAGACTCTCAGGGAATCTGAGAAACTTCACACACCTTCTTGAAGTGCATAACTGTGCTCACCTGGAGAACTCACACTTGTCCCCATTATAAATTTATCATCTTTGCAACTGCCAGGCATCTGGTATCTTGGTTAAAGGATATGGAGTCACTTGCTGGGTGGACAATATTCTAATCTGTGCATTTGCAGCTGATGTGCCTCATTAGCAACTCGGGCTGAAGATGCTGGGCCAAGCCAGCCACAGCCATATTTCTGACCCCAAAAACATGCAACAAACACAATGTGACCTGCCCAAAGTGAGTCAGAGAGGTTGCTGGGAATCAGATCGAGACTGCTGACGCCAAGTCTCACATGGAGCCATGAGGCCAGACCACACTCCACCGCCCCTTTCCCTCTGCATCATTCATCTCCTGCCAAAGCTGGGAACTGTTTACTGATCAGTGAGTAACAAAGGTTGCTCATTGTACGACTGTCATCTTACCTGAAGGGGTGGGGGTAATTCAGAAATCACCAGTCAAGGGTCCGCCCTAGAGGCCAGGAGGGAGGAAGGACAGCTACTCAGGCTGTGTGCCACTGGGAACACTCTGCTCTGAGGAAGACAGCCAACAGCTGGATGAGTGCAGGTGCCATGCTATGCTCCTTTCCAGAGAGAAGACAGAAGGTACTGGGAGGACTTGAGACATTATGTGTAGCATCTGGTGTTATGAGCGGTTTCCAGCCCAGCCCAGTGAGGCCAATGCTCCTATCTGGCCCAGGATTCCAGAACTTCCAGACCCCTCTGCCAGAGGAAATTGTTGTCAGATCCTTAAGACTGAGTAGGATGACTGAGACTGACAGCATCCGATAACCACCCAAATCATCAGGATCCTGCAGGCCACAGAGAGTTTAAAGTATTAAAACTCTGAAAACTTACTGAAACTCTAAAAGAGGCCATGCAGGGGGACAATGGGTTTCCCAGGAGATTAAGAATTGAGCAGAATTTTTTCTTTCACTTTTAAAATGCAGTTATTTTAAGAATTGCAGCAGGACAGAGAGGGACAAGATGAGGGGGAGGAAGAATGAGAAGGAGAGGGAGATCGATCTCATTTGTTGGTTTACTCCCCAAATTCCTACAGTAGTTGGGGCTGGTGCAGGCCAAATTTGGGAGCCAGGACCTCAGTGTAGATCTTCCACATGGGTGGCAGGGACCCAAGTACATGAACTATCACCTGCTGCCTCCAGGGTATGCATTAGCTGGAAGCTGCAACTAGAGTGAGAGAAGAGACACTCTGATATGGGAGGCAGATATCCAAAGCACCATCTTAATCACTAGGCCAAATGCTCAACCCAAGAACTAAGAATCTTATGGCTGCTCCTCTCAAGTCTGCATCTCTTTTCCATATTCAGAGTGGAACCCATCTATCATTCTCTGACCATGGATTACACCCAGAAGTGTGTACGAAAACAGTTTCGAACAGTTGAAAGATCCCGATGCTCAGTAACACCAGCCAAAGCTCAGGTCCCCTCTGGGATGAAGCTGAGAGTGCTGGTATCTGTTCACCTTCTTCTAAATGGGACTCTTCCCTCTGTCTGGCAGCAGCCATCTGTACCACCGAAACGTTTCATGTGGAGACAGTGGCCCACGGTGGGCAACCATTTTCCCTTGGATTAGGAAAACTCTGAGGGCAGTTCCCCACTGTTTGTTTTCAAACAGTCTGGCTGACCAGCATTCCCCAAAGATTGCCCAAGTCTTGCCATGATGCCAAAGGCATTCTCTGACTCAGCTGAGACCCAGCCCTGCTGGCCACATTTGCACTCCAGTTGCATTGTCCACAGTGTTGCTGGTTGTACAGGCCAGGGAGCTGCCTGGGTCTGAAGAAACACACACCAGATGGAAATACCCACTGCTGGTGGTCAGCACCCAAGACTGCACGTTAACATGGCTGCCCCCACGCCACCAGTCTGATGACTTTAGTTCTAGGGGTTCAAGTGGCTCTTAGTATAGCAAAGGCAAATCCAATCTTTTTATATAGCATTTAAGGATGATTGTTAATTGGGAATTCTCCTAATCTCTTCTAAGACATCAAAGCCAAGAACAATGGGTATTGACAAGAACTTCTACTTTCCAGGGTGGTGCTAGACCACATATGCTAAGTGCCAGCATGCGGCACCCCAGCCAGCTCTACAAATTTTAGCTCCTGCCTGTATACATGAGAAGGCTAGAGTTGGGGCAGGGAGACTGGAGACAGGAGGGTCTTTGAAGAGAGCTGTCATGGAGCTGGTCTTCTTGTGCTTCCTTTTGGCCTCTCAAGGGAAGAAGAGAAGCTCCCGCTTTTCTTACCTTGACCCAGGAGGGGGCTGAGGGAAGTCACTGTGGAAAGGGGAGAGGAGGGAAACTGCCACCTCCCCTCATCCTCTCTCCTGTGTGCAGACATCTCCCAGGCTCTGCAACTACTCAGGCCTTGAGCTGAGCACACCAGGGTTCTGGAGAGAACTTCATCAGTGGCAAGTGGAATTTGTGGGGTATGGAGACTGGTGCCTGACGCTTGACTGCAGCCATCTAAAGGCAAGAAGCTGATGGCAGGGGCCCATGAGGAAGAGTGGACAGGAAGGACTGTTGCCAGAGAGCTCCCAGGTTGAAGGGGCAGAGACACCAAGTCTTCCCTTCAGCTAAGTAGGCAGAAAAAACTGGCTGGGCTCAGTGCCTTGAAGAACTCATCTCAACAGGGCTGCCTGCCAGCACAATAACCCCCAAAGAAAGGGGCT